AAAAGAGCTCCCAGGTTCTAATTTGTTATAATTAAGCTAGATGAGGCTGATACTGGAAGGAGGCAAGCCAATTAGTTTGGGACATCAATTTTTGTTTGCCACTGTCAAAGTCTGTTAAAGGAACTTGATGGATTGCTGGGTTAGCTTTTTCAACCAGATAATCCCCATGTGAAAGATGGGCAGGCAGCCGGGTGCAGAGAAGCACACTGCAGCTGGCGTTGGGAAAAAGGCTGCACCTGCCAAAGTGGCACTCGGAGGTACCAATGGTGTTGCAATGCCTGAGATGTGGACAACTGGATGGAGAGGTGACGCTCAAGATCCCAGCATGGAGCAGACCCCTGCACAGCAGCTGCAAACAAAGAAAGCCTATGCTCAAAGGAGTTTGAAAGAGACAAGCCACCAGCTGTTTGGGCAAAAATCTGATGTTCTGGGGGTAGGACTACAAGCTTTTGAGTGGTCCAGGTTTTAAACAAGTAAAGGTAGTCTTGTCGCATGCTAACCAGCAGCCATAACCCTAGCTTCCAACTCTATTATCCTTATTAATATATGGTAAATACCATCTTCTTAATACCATCATCTGCACTACTGAAAGAAATCAGGTGTTAAATAAACTCAGGCGTAATTCCCACAGTTTTAACTGGTAGAACTCTACTGGAAATTATTTATGGTAGTTAATGTCACATCCTAGCACTAAAAAAACCCCTTCAGCAAATCCAGGCTATGAACTGTTTCATTTTAGAGAGTTCCTTCAGACCATAATTGAACTTCAAAATATTTACTTATTTCAATTTTTTTGTAAAAAATCTCTATAGATAGGAAAGAGCTGGGGACATCGGCCCAACCAATAATTCCTCCAGTGACACCAGAAACTGTAATATATAATCACTCTACGTCACTGTGCCAGGCAAAAATCTCTTCAGTTCTCGATATAGTTCCTGTTTTCAGGTCCTGAAGACATCAGCTGCTCTTTTACAAAACTGGTAGTACCTGGCTCTGTCCTTAGTGAACATGTAGTGCCATATTCCTGCAGTCACACCTCCAGTTTTGCTACCAGTTTAAGTACCATTGCACATCTTATTCTCTGTAAACCTTGAATTAAGCAGAAACTTGGGGAAATGGAAAAAGCCTGAAAGTTGGAAGGACAGACCTTCAGCTGTTCTAAGTTGTTACAGTATGATTTATTAACGCCACCAGAACAGTTTATACCAACTGATAATCTGCTCTGAGGTTTCAAGACTGTCAGCAAGTTCTGTTTTGCAGTACAAACCTAGTCATTTCCTGAAATTGCATGCTACAGTTAAGCTTAAGAAAACTATCCAAGTTTATTTAGAAAGCCAGCACTTATTTCCTATGTAGCTGGCTGATCTGGGACTCACCTAACACCTTACTGAATGTATGTGTTGCAAAAATAAAGGAATTATTGCTCAAGGCTTCCTACAAAAATGTTAGCCAATATGTTCTACTGTATTGGAGGACACAGCAATTAACATTCAAATCCATTTATATTCTCCAATTTTTTCCCCCCCAACATGTACAGATTGATTGGTACTATTTTTTTGTGTCTCAATTTAGAAAAGAATGACAATTTCCCTCAGCATTGCAGCATGTATTTTGGCTTGTTCTAATGAAGACAAATTCCTCTCAATCAGGATCATTCTGTTCATTAAGTGAGACAGATGGCAGGCTCACTGTATTGGTAACGATTCCGAGACTTTAGGCGTATTCGGGATACACTGGTGTGGTGGGTTGACCTTGGCTGGAAGCCAGGTGCCACCACGCAGCTCTATCACTCCCCTCCTCAGCAGGATGGAGGAGGGGGTGGAGGAGAAAATAAGATGGGGGAAAAAAAACCCCACATGGGTCAAGATAAAAGGCAGTTTAATAAAGCAAAAGCAAAGGCTGCACATGAAAGCAAAAGGAAAACAAAAGGTTTATTCCCTGCTTCCCATCATCAGGCGATATTCAGCTACTTCCCAGGAAGCAGGGCCTAGTACATGTAGCAGTTGCTCTGGAAGACAAACGTCATTAAATAATGAATGCTCCCCCCCCTCCTCCTTTCTCTTAGCTTTTATTGCTGAGCGGACGTCACATGGTATGGAATATCCCTTTGGTCAGGTTGGGCCAGCTGTCCTGGATGTGTCCCAGGAGCTTGCCCACCTCCAGCCTACTGGTGAGGGGGAAATGTTGGAGAGACAGCCTCAATGCTGTGGGAGCACTGCTTAGCAGTAGCCAAAACTCACCGGTGGGTTATCAGCACCTTTCTGGCTTCCAATACAAAGCACAGTGCTATGAGGGCTGCTATGGGGAAAATGAACTCCATCTCAGTCAGACTCAATACAACTGGTTTGTGTTCCCCAGCTAAAAACCGACCGATTTTTGTGGTTTGTACGCAGGTCTTCATTAGCAAGCCAAAAACCTGAGGGACCCACAGAAAGGCAGGGTTTAAACACATTCAGGGTTTAAACACATTCAGACAAATTTGTAAAACAAGGTCCAGCAGATGTGCCTGTCTTGGTAGAAATTTAAATACACGCTTCCAAAGCTCTGCCAGAACAGTGTGTGAATCTGTGCAACCAGCGGGGATGTAGAGCTTTCCCTTTTCCTCCCACCTGGCCCTGAGGGTACCACTGGGTTCAGTTGGAGGCCTTTAATTTGCCAGCCCATAATAATTGATGCAGGGAAATTAATGATGAAATGTAAAGCTCAAATGGGAACTGTGTTGATCATAGGAACCGTCATGTTAGATGCCCACATCCTGGGCTCTCTCTGTAGTTGAGTAAGTTGAAGCAAGGCAGCTTCTGGAAACTGTTGGACACTGAACAGTGCTCAGATATCCCTGTCTCCAAAGTTCTGGAGCCGTCACAAACACAGAAGGCTGCAGGCACTGGCTAGGCATCGTCATTGTTTAAGGCATCGTGTAAAGAAATGAAATAATCTGTTGTGCTAAGCAGAAATAAAATATTGCAGAAGTAGATAAAAATGTTTTCACATCATTAAAATATTATGACTATAAAGTAGTTCACACTGTATCTTCTTCATGATGCCTCAACAATGATATTACTGTGTTAGTTTTGTGACAAACTACTTGGGTTTTAGTGCTAAGATGAGGTCTTCGAGATGGGACAAACCTGGTACTTTGCAGGATTCTAGAATACAGGGGGAAAGAGGGTGTGAGGGAACACACAAATACATGAGGACACATGGCATTATCTTCATACCAAGCATTCCTCCTTTTGGCAGAGTCTGACTTTCCGCACAAAGACATACCATTTGTGCTATATCCAATCCTAGGAGTACTAAGAATGGGATTATTCAGTTGTTGCTTCTGTTGACTTTGTCTTAACACTTACTTCATACTTGGTTTCAGGGAAGGTTAATTTATGTTCGGGTTATGTTTTCTCCAAAGACAGTGAAGTCTTTGATTTAACTAGCTAGGAAATAGGTGGGTGCACCACAAAAGCCTCGTCACCTAAAAATGATAGACTCTACCTCCATTGTGTGTATTAAAATCCCCACTAGGTTTGTATCGATAAATAACGCAGTGAGACTTTGAAAGGGAAAGAATCAAAGCAAGTCTTCTTCTAGCTCTGATCTGCTCAGATTTGAAAATACAGGGGTGGCATGCTTTAAGAGAAGACTGCAAATGTAGGATCTGAATGCTGTTGGACCAGAAATTACCAGCTGAAGACTGTTTGGGATATTTATGAAGGAACTTAGCAGACCTCTATTCAGCTTCTGGTGGAGAGGTGGAGTTACATATATCAGGAAGAATGTCCTTCCTGACAGTCCTACCAAAGAAACCATAAAATGAGAAAGCATGAAAGTGGAAAGAGCTCCAAAACCTTGATGAAGTATCTGCTGAATCCTGAAGCATGTGGGCTCTGTGGAGACGTACCTCTCTGGGGCATGTAACCATGCATGGCACTTTATATATATAGTAATTAAGAAGAAAGAAACACAGTGTTCTATTAAAAAGACTGCCAGTTCCCCAGAGAAAATAGCTTTGTGTATCACTTTATGCTAGTGGTGACAGAATAGAAAACAAAATACCACAGAGTTACATACATGTTCTTTGTCTAGAAGTATTTACAAACAACTTTACAAATTTTTACACACATTTTCAGGTTTGTTTGTTTACTTTTAAATTAAGAGCAAAATGAGTCCCCAGAGGCTTCTAAGGCTTCAGCTGGTGCCTTGCACTGTACATTCATGCTTGGCTTCTTCCTGGGGCAAGGGAGGAAAACTGTTTAAAAATGTGCAAATCACAGACATCTAAAGAACCCTGGATGCAAGGGTTCCTAGAGACCAACATCCATAGAGCGGTCATCCTACTTCTCTTCAAATCAGAGACAGCTACCGGTGGCAGGCTCAGGGCAAAAGAGATTAGGAAGGGAGAAGGAGCCATATATGAATTGCAATAATTAGATGAGTACATTAGTGCTGGAGCATCTGGGTAAGAAGAGCCATAGATCAATTCCTACTGCACACAGTAGTTCAAACAACGCAAGGAGTGGCCATTGTGAATTCTAAATACAGCACTGAAATGATCTCTTGTACACTCTTAGGGTTTGACTCCTGCTGCATATTTTGGAGTCAAAATTATTTTTTACTGACACAATCTTGACCAGGCACAGTATGATCCTATCAGTCAAAAAATACTGACTTTTTTTGAGAAAGATGCACCCTTCTCCTAGTTTTCACAGGTTGTTTTGTTTTCATGCCTTAACACTAAATGTTGTAAAAATATTGAAATTAAAAAAGAAAAAATTTACAATTTACAAGTGTCCATATAAGTAAATTATTCAAAAATTCAAGATCATCTACAAGGATCTACGAAATAACAATGCTGATAATGACACTGAGCCCGTGGGAAGAACAATCCACGTGCCGTGAGAAACGGATGGTGGGTTTCTTCCAGAACGATGAGTCACGAGGTTGATCTTTTCTTCTAAAATTCTGTTTCTTCAGCTACAGCAGCAGAATTCTTGAGTCTATGTTCATTACTTACTTCGACCTAAAAAGCAGAATATATGAATTAGTTACAAATGAAAACTTCTTCTGTTTGTCTTCTAATTTGTGAGTTGTAAATTCACACCAGCTGACAGGTTAGTAGCTAATGAATGAGTGGATAAATCACCTCTGGTCACTAATTTCCTCAGCTGTAAGAACCACATATAATTACGGTCAAGAATGAATGGCTGGGTACGAAGTGGCAGCTTTGTATCATGCATACCACAAAGGCAAAAAACATTTGGGGAAAAATACCTCAGGTGGTGAAACATGTCTGAAGCTCACATAATAATAGATTCTTTTTAGCATAATATATTTTAACAGTATGAGATACATGTCCACCAGGCTATGAAATTTGGACATGACCCGTGCATCTGAACTGGACTCACGCTATTTGCAGTCCTCACCACAACCACACGCTTGCTGAATCTATGTATTCTCACATGTCCGCCTGTAAACCATGTTCACTTGCGTAGTCTTGGAAAATCAATGATGGTCTTACATAGTGACTTTATGGTGGGTAGAGTCTCAGGAGAAGATGCAAATAGGCCAGGGTCACACAGAATCATTGCAGAGCGATAACCTCTCTACTGGTAGAGGTTCTCAGACGCTGCATCAGTCCCACAAGCAGAAGTTAGCAAGCTCTAGGGACATCCCTAATTGGAATTAAGGACTCAGTATCTGTCCAGACCGGGCTGCCCAAAGCTATAGTAGTCCCAGATCAGACGTACTCATCCAAACAGGAATGGGGCACATGTAAACTTCAACTTCTACAAACCATTAATAATAATAATAATAATCATGATAAAAAAACCCCCAAATGAAACCAAAAATGAAATTTTTTTTTTTTTCTTCTAATCCCCACACTCCTCTCTTTCCCATGTAGCAGTGCATGAAGCAATTCTAAATACTACTGAGTGACCTGGCTGTTGATATTGCTCTTGAAACAGATGAAAACACAACACTCTTCTTTAAAGTCCTTGTACTTCAGTCCCAAAGAGAACATGATGATTTTTTCCCCACTCCCCCTGTTGTCTCCTGCCTTATACACATCTTAATTGAAACCGCATGGTTCAGGGCAAAGATCTTGCTTCTCCTTGTCCTATAGCCTAATAGAGTTATAGGCAGAACAAAGAGCAAACAGGCATGTTATGATCATTCATATTTGCATTAAGAAATGTTCCCTGTGAGAACAAGTTCAAATTTAACCTCTTTTCAGGGGTGAAAAGGAAAACTATTCCTAGACTTGATGGTCATTAGTAATTATGGCAGCACTAAGTAGACATTATACTGAATATGAGTACTTGATAAAAACAGACTGCCTTCTACATAGTTTGGGTGAGGCCACAGAACCTTGTCTTTTCAATGTTTTGTTAATTTATGAAAGAAGTAAGGGAAATAAAAGCGGTGAGAGAAAGGGAAATCATAGCCAAGCTTTCATCTATAAAAAGCATCACACTAATTTTTCCCACGGGTAAAGTGGTAAGGATGGCAAAAGGTCTGTAACCTTTATTAAGGCTTTGAATGTGTTTAACAAGTTTTATTCATGTTCAATTCTAAGAGAAGAGAAATGGAGTTTTTCACAGCCTGGATACCAGAAGTCATATTTATTAGGGATACTATGGATGCTCAGAGTACATATAATTGATACAGATAGCAATTAACTTATCAAAAGAAGTCAAGAAGGCTGATGTGCTGCAGAGGGATAAGAATCTGCAAATTTCTGGCACAATCTACTGACTATTCAAATTGTTCCCAGCAACTTGGCTTTTAATTCACACTTTGATCACTGATAGTATTTTTTGTCCCTCCTTAAGTAAAGATCCTCCCTGTATCTTTCAGTGCATAAAACCAAAGAATCAAGAAAGAAGAAAACACAATATAATTTATTTTCCAGTTTTATGCTTCTAGCAGCCATAAAGATGCCAGAGAGGGGCTTTCCCAGCTGTACAAGGATACCCCCATATGTGGGAAATTTATTCTCCGGTATTGCAAGCTCACCAACAGCTCCAAAATCCTTCGAACTACTTCACCAAAATTTGCCATCAAAGAAAAAATTCTCAGATTCTGTGACTTTTCTACTGCAAAACAAATGAACAGATTTTGCAGGAACATATTTATAAGTCTTTTGCGAAAATGTCTTGTTTTCCTCTCCTTTAGTTATAGTAAGATTGCTAAGAAAGTACTAAACATTTATTCACCGAATACTTTAAAATGTTCTAGCTGTGGCTGGCTTCCTCCTGGATACCAATTTCACTTTTTTAGTCCAGCAGCTTGCACAGAATGGTCAAAACCCCATGTTGCTGTCATCTTTCCCACAGAAAATGCAGCAAAATTGTCCTTTAATGAAATATTATTGAAAATGCAGAATCCAATGTAGCGGGTGTACTTAATGCCCTGTCAGACTGTTCATCGCTTCATTTTGTTGTCCTAATGTGATATTTCTTCCTGTTGTAACACTCACTGTCACACTGAGAAAGGGCTTTTTTCCTTTTGAGGCCTTCACAATGCTACGATATTTACTCACTAAATTTGAGTAAAATTTTGTCGCTGTTTATTTCTACAAACTGAAAGCTGCAGCATGAAGAAAACATATTTCAAAAGCATGCAAAAATTAGTAAAGACACAAGCAAAGTTCAGGTGTCAAGTGCCGACTCAAAGCATTTGGTTAGCACTTGTCCACTTTCAATTAAAGCTCGCAGCACATGCACACATGCATACACCAGGAAAAACCTTCAGCCTTTGATTCTGTTCACTGGTAAGTAAAATACAGTAAGTCATTAAACCAGCTTCAATCAGCTGCACGTGGGTTTCATGTTGCACTTAAGATGCATGAAAGGCCCGAGGGTAAATTTAAAGGCAGAAAGCATCAGGGCAACAACTTACAAGCATCTAAGAAGAATTTCCAAATGAACATCTTCTGGTTTACCACTAATACTTTGAAATACCATTTATCTGAAGTTATCTGCGCTTCTGCCAAATTATATGTACTAGTAATGTCTTCCCATATCTTAATTTATTCCAAATAAAATAAATAGATGTGCATCCAAAATTATTCATTAGGTAGCAGAGTAGGAAGAATCTATGAAAATATGTGATTTTCATGGTGGGAGTAAATAAGTGATGACAAAGAGATAACAAACTTCCTGTGAAATTACGGATAGATAGATTATAAACTGACTAGCAGTTTTCCAGCAAACATTTTTTTTTCAGTAGCTAGAGAAACGTAAAAGCTTCTGCTTTTCCATAAATGGGTTAATCTCATTAAGATTTATGCAGCAGTAGCAGCCATAAACCAGCTCTTTTCTTGCTAAAATGTCAGCAGGGAAGCAATTCCATCCTTCGCTGCGAGCCTCTCCTTGTGTTAAGCTGAGGCACGACATGGCAGACATGGTGATATCTACTAATCCTTGCTTTAGAGGATATGTCATCGATGACAAAGTGTCCTTACTCACATCTTTTATGTGGATTAATTTTTAATTAAGTTCTAATTAAAATATAATTAAATTATTAGTAACCTGATGCCAAAATTATTTCAGGAGAAGGTTAGCTTTCAGTCCAGTTAGAAGGATTAATGTGGTCCGTAGGACCAGAACCTTACCTACAGGCTTTACAGGCTTTAACTCAACATGTTCCTGGGGGGGCTGTCGGTAGGAGTATGTGTCAAGTCCGCCTATGAAATCAACTGAAAATACAACAGTTCCAGAAATGAACAAATGGAAATGAAAATATGTCAACTGAAAAAGAAATATGGACAAATTATGTTAAAAAAAAATAGTAAGCTCATGCACAGGTTTGCATACAAGAAATAAACCAAGTAGGTAAAGATGCTGTGGAAACTGCTTACAGAAGGCTCTGTGCTGTGTCTTCCTTGGGGTCCATTTAGCCCTGTGCCTGGCTAGGCGGGCTAGCAGTGGGCTGGCCAGGCATGCACCCTCCTGCCAGCATGTGTGCAAAAGGAGCATTCAGGGATCTGCAGAGTATGTAAACAGAAACCACTGTGGGGCCATGTAGCTGCTTCTCTTTAGGGCAATTTCAGCACATATTTCAAAATTCACTCTCAGCTCCTTTTGAAGAGTTTAGAAATTGAGGCAGTGGAAGCAGTTTAGCTCGTGAAGCTAATTTCACCTAAACTTTTACGACTCTGTGGACTTGCAGGATTGTAACTCACCAACAAAACCCAAAGGTGTGTCCACTGAGTTAAGAATAAACAAGTGAGAACCTGAAAAAGCAGCAGCATCTTCTCCGGATGAACTTGTGGGGACAGGAAACCTTTTCAGAATCCTTCCACGTTCTCTCAAGATTTCTATGTCAGAACTAACGTGGGGATATCTGTTCTTCAGAAGTTTTTAGTTCTTTCTCTGGTCATAATGAGTTTAAAATAAGACATTTTAGTCTGAGTCTTGTATCTTGGTTTTTTTTGGTAAGATTTTAAGCAGCTTCAAGAAGCCAGACGTCCAAGCTATTCTAGAAATCTTAAAAGCATGTTCATGGAGAAGGTTATTTTTCTGTTGATTTAGAAGGGCTTTTTGCAGACCTGAGCAGCACTGACAAATTTGCAGCACATTAGGATTCTTTGGTCACATCGAAAGGAACTTCCTTCATTTGTTTATATATAGGCATATACACAAAAGTCCTAAGCAGAATTTAGATCCTCATTGTGTTAATCACTGCATGAGCACCTAATAAGAAACAGCCCCTTCCCCAGCAATGTGTGCACTAGGCAAACGAAGAAAGAAAGAGTGCTCATCCAGGATGGGTGGACGGGGATGGGGAAATAAGGTTTAGAGTTTGAAGGGCTGATGAAATACCCAGTGAAATCTGTGAAAATGCTCCTGTTGATTTTAGTTGCCTCTCCTCTTGAGTCCAGGAAAGGAGTAGCTTGGCTGAAAACTGAACTTGATGTACTCCAATCACACAGCATCACCTTAGCCACAAGACTGTTTTCTTAAAACTGCCTGAGCAGGACATAATGCTGAAGAGCTAGCCCAGCCCAAGTGCCAGCCCTAGCCTATCTGCACCTCCTCTTCATTCTGTAGTTCTTTCATGTTGCAGCTCTCCTTCAGAATGATGTCACTAAATACTATAAGATACATCAAAATTGCCTTCAGCACTAACAGGACCGAACACTTATAAAGAGACTTGTAAAATTAATTTTTAAAATATCTAGATGTCTAATGTAAGACATAGTTACTGATTCATTTTTTAGAATAATTTGTGTCCATAGTGGTTTGGTGGTTTTTTTGGTTATGTACTTTAGTTTTCCTTGCTCTCTGAAGAGGTTTATTTTTTTTTCCTGAGAACATGTGATAGAAGGAGTTAGAAAGTACGTTTCTGAGATAATTCACCACTTCAGAACCACACATCATTCCTCTCAGCAATCACAAGCATCATCTGCAACTGTAAGCATGGAGAGAATTTAAAGTAACTAGTCCTCCAACAAATCTTTTGGAGAAAGAAATGATGTCAATATGTGTTAATGACTGACAACATAGCAGTGTCTTTGTCTGATAAAGAAAACATTTTTAACAGCACGATCCAACAAGTTTCGATATGAGCTGCTCAAACTTGTTTAGCTGAGGCTTTCTCTTATGCAATCCAAGATGCATTATATAGTATTAAAGTTGAAGTTCGACTTAAAATTCATGTGAAGCTAATTCTCAAGGCAAGAAGCTACTCTATCACACAAGGCAATGCAATATGCTATTTTCTTTTTTCTTTTAGACATCCAACATTGATCAAATACTTTATAACTTTATATTGGCTGAACTTTTTGGATGCATACATCCCTGTGTTTAATTGGCCAAAAGTAAACAGCAGCAACATTCATATAGGTTTGCCAGGGGTTTAAACATTAGTTTAAGAATGATATCAAATAATTGATTTTGTATATTTCTGGCCTGGTTAATGGATTATGGATAACTTCTGCCATAGATTCTTAGGACTACAATATTAACTTCAGAAAGTTGCATATGCCTGGAAGAAAGTTCAACCAAAAAAAAAATTTCTATACAGTTCTATAATTCTATGCATTAAATTAAAACAGAAAAAAACCACAACTTGCTAGCAGTAGGGATATTCAGTCACTAAACAAGGAACACCCCATGGAGCCCAGTCATTAACTACAGTCATGCAGAGAGAAACTTACAATCCTAGGGAGAGGATTTTTTAGCACCCCACAGATAATAGCAAGTTACAGCAGAAGCTAGTTATTTTATCTGCAGCTGGCTGCAAAACATGATCCATATTCCCAGGGAATTGCTCTCTCCTTGTGTCACCTCAGTTTTGTGGTCATGCTGGATGCTTAATGGCCAGTGTGAAATGTTCCTTTAGAGTTCACTACCTGCTGGGCTTGGAAGTGCAAATCTGTGCTGGCTGTCCACTGCGGGTAGTCCATTAAAATGATGTTCATTCACTCATGGGCCATATCAGAGGAACAGTTGTCATAATCTGCCTGAGTGAGAAAAGTGCAATGCGCTGCTGGCTGAAGAAAGTGTATCCACTGTCACCAGTAATTTTGCGGGTTATTCTTTTCTAGACAGATGACATTTAGATTTGCCTTACTCCTATTAATCCAGCGCATTTACCCATATGCCAGTTAAAATTTGCTTTCCTTTGAAGCTAGCGCAAAAGAGTCAGAGCTCAGAAAAAAATCCTTTCTCCTTTCCCACCCTCCCATCTGGAATTCCACTTCTCTGGCAATATCCCACTGACCTGCTGGCAGGCCCTGTGCAAACAGCTGCCAGAGCTTGTCAGCCCATTGGTATATTACTAATTTGTCCTTTCAAAGCTGGCAAATTCTAAGTGCGTCTGGAGGTGTGGGGTATGAACAGAGCAGTGATATGCAGATAGCACAATTCTTAGTAAATCCTGCAGCCTCTTGGCCTGGAATACCTTAGATCCATTAACGTTACTATACTGTCTATGTACAAATTAAATTAGCAAAGGAAAAATAATCCATGCATAAGATATATTAAATGCCCAGAAACTACATCTATCAATTACGTTCACACAATACCAATGTGTGCTTTCACAACACGTACCCAGTCAATCCACTAAAACGGCAGCTCAAGTAGTCAAGACTAAAGGCTGTTGTACAAAAAGGCTGCTGCAGCCTCAGTCACACCTTCAAACTCATGATCCTCACAACAAATGTGTCCACATTGGCTTCAGAAGAGGCAGAACTCTGAATCTGCTGTTAGAAGTTATGCTGTGTCTTTTCTGGTAGTCTGATTCAGGGATGTATGTTATGCATTAGGGTGCCTTTATAGTTCTGCAGAGTTTGATGCCATAAACTACAGAGTTCTTTTAAAAATGTTTAGTGCAGATGCTAGGACTGACTGGAATTGATCTGCTCCACTTACAGTTCATTGCTAAGTCGCAAGTTAGGTGTTTTGTTCCTTCAAGTTGTTCTTTTTCCCATCAGTTGAGTCCCACGGGTCTCTATTTCTGGCCTGTTGTTCTTTGTATCCATACAATTTCTTTTTGCTTCAGTTATCTGTCAGTATGAGCCAATTATTTATTTTTGAGACAAAATTTAAGTATCTATATCTCCCTGGTTATTATGCATCCAAGAATACCAGAACTGCTGTTTCTAACCTTAACTAGCAGTCACAGATATTTTAGTATGTGAAATGAATGTCCCATTATATAATGCAGATCATGTTCAACTCTATTGAATAATTAAAGATAAACTTGCTAGAGCAACATATTTACAAGATCAAATGTATGACATAAAGCCACGTCTTTCAGAACTCTTGTGGCATTTGGAGGAAAGGATTTTATACATAGGAGAAAGTTCACATCATCCATTCACAACAGAAGGATATTAACTATTACTTTAAAAAGTTATAGGACTGGAGGGGCTCTTTTTGTCATTGAGTGTTTCTGGATTTTTGTTCCTACCTTCCTAGGCATGGAAGACTGTTCCTGAACTTTGCTGCTACCACCCTCTGTGACATGACATTTGCTTCATGTGTTTCTATCTTTACTTCTCTTACGAGGAGTGAACAGGAGCGAGCTGAGGATGTTCAGGAGAGCATGCCGGTGTCCATGGCACAGCAGAGGACACAAGCCAGAGAGGCAAGGGGCTGCGAGCCTGGTTCTCAGAACTGAGGCTGCAGAGGGGAGCAGCAAACCAGGCAGGTCTTAGAGGCGATGGAGAGAAGGCTCTGCTAAGGATTCGTGAGGCCAAGCAGAATCTGCAGCAATTCAAAAAGCCAAAGACTCGGCTGAGACTCAAATGGGAAGCATGGCTCTCCAACTGCATGGGCACAGACAACAAGGGAGCAAATGTTATAAACCTCTCATTTCTACTCCGCATGGTCTTGTAACTTTGAGTTTTCCATTTAAGAAGTGTGCTAGTTTATAATCAAATTGATTCTGCCTTTTTTGAGGTTAGTGTTGTGGTTTTCTTTAGGAATTCTCTGTAAAGGTGAGTGTGCACATCAACTTCAAAGCTCTGGCTGACTAAAGCTCTGCCACATTTAGCCCACGTTGCAATTTTTCTTGACTTTCCCTTCCTGCCCTATTTTCAAGTCTTTGCTTTAAAATCTTCTTAACATCCCTGCCCATTAACGTCTTCTGCTGTCAGGCAGGAGAGTCTCCTTCTTTCCTGACCCTTCCTTCCTTTATTAGTAGGTGGCTTTGCTGGGGTCCGGGTACAGAACTACCATCTTTAACTTG